TGTGACCTTGCCTGTCCCATGTTGGAATGTGCAGTTGGAAACAGTCACCATAGATTTTTGGGAGACACTGTAACATCCCAGCTGCTGGAATACAAAATTGGTGGGGTATTCTTTCCTTGGTGAATTGATTTTCCCATGGGTTTAATCCACTCTGGTCAGTATAACTTAATTTTTCCTTTGTCCTGTGTGGATTAACTGTCACCTGCGCTTCATGTGGCCGGAAAGGAGCAGCTTCTGTTGTGGAGTGGGGAAAGGAAAGTTCCGGGAGTAATTGTGAGGGAAAATCAACATCACCCAGTGGCAGATGGTAAATGGGAGCATCATCTTACAGTGGCGAGGGCCAGGCATTTTGGAAATGTGAGTTACAGAGTCATACATGATAGAACAGTTCACAGTCCTTGTTTTCCTGGCAGGGAAACTGATGGAGGGGATTTCTCTTCATTTTCCCTTCAATTTCCCTTTATTTCCATAACTTCCCAACTTGCTGCGTGTTATCACTGGGTCCTGTGATACCACAAACAGGAATCCCATGGAAATTAAGAGCAAGTTAATGAGTTTAGTGCCTTAAAGGCAGCTACTTCCACACATTTATCCATGTTCAGAGGTGTACATGGAATCACATTGCCAGCTCCACCGGTCGGGCCCAGGAGGTGAAATTAGGGACAAAAGGGACATTGTGCAAGTGTGTGTGACCCCACAGGCAGCTGTGCCAGTACCTTGGGAATTCATTCCTGTGCTCATTCCAGAGATTTCACCTGCAGAGCAGCTGAGGAGGATCTTGGGCTGAGCAAGCTCCTGTCACCCCCAGGCAGTTCCATGTGGAATTGGATCTTTGTCCATCTCCCTTGTCCTGGGAAAGCTGCAGCTGTGCCTGTGGGACAGGAGTGCTGCCAGGGCTCTTGCATCAGAAGTGGCAGCCCAGGTTCAGCTGTGTCCAGCTCCATTCCCACTGTTTGCTCTGGGCACAGCCTCAGCTCTCCCATCCTGCCTTTCCCTGGACACGCAGGAGCTGTTGTTCCATGGATGTGTTCTAGGAGGGATTGATCCATTTATCTGTCTGCAGTTTTTCCTGTTGTCCTCTAGGAGTTGTGTCTGGGAAAGAGCTTGGGAGGCAGCTTCAAAGGGATACAGCTATAAAATGGGAATTGTGGGTAAAGTCCTGGGTCTGGTGTCACATTAATCAGTTTGTCCTTGTTCCTATCAGGAATGGGGAATTCCCTGCCTGTGCAGGTGAGTGCCAGTGGAGCAGGTTCAGTGAGATGCCTGAAGCCAGCAGGGACTGCAGGACAGAGGAAATACTGAAGCCAGATCTGCTGGTGTATTTAGAAACTCAGATTTCCCTCTGTGGTTTGAGTTGCCTCGGAATGAGGCTGGGCTGGAGCAGTCCCAGGGGTGAAGGGATGAACAGCACCTGGAGAGCAAAAACCAGGATCTTCCCTGACAGAGTCATGAGTAATTAATAACCCCAGCTAGATTAGGTGTAGGGGAAACTTTTGTTATTGTGAGATTGGAGAGGCCCTGGCACAGATACCCAAAGCAGCTGTGGCTCCCCCTGGATCCTGGAAGTGTCCAAGGCTGGAGTGGACTTGGAGCAAGCTGGGATAGTGGAAGGTGTCCCTGCCCATGGGATTAGAACAAGAGGAGCTTTAATGTTCCTTCCAACCCAAACCAGTGTGGGATTCTCTGAAAAGTCACCCCCTGTCCACCTGCCATCCCTTCAGCTTTCTAACATTTATTATCCCGTTACGTAAAGCTTTGGAGAGGGGCTGCTGGCTCAGCCAGGCCGTGGCACGTCAGGTCACGCTGAAATCCTTGTTCCTCGAATGATTCCTGAGCACAGCCCTGATGGGTCACTCCAAAGCTCTGCCTGGCTGCTGGCTGACAGGGGCTGGAGCCTTAGGAAAACACTGCAGGAATTAGGGCAGCACAGCCTGCTCTCTGTGTCAGTGCCCTGATTTGTGGTGGAGCTGTGCAGCTTTGCTGTGTTTTTCCTGGAGTGATTCAGCCGCGGTGAGGGAGCGCTGCCAGGAGGATCCCACAGCCCCTGCCTGCCAGGGATCTGGGATCAAAGCAATCAAACTTGCTGCCCTAAGAAATCCCAGCCTCCTGAGAAGCTCAGCAGCCACTGGAATTTGTCCTGGAGTTTTATGGAAAAGCTTTCATCCTGTTTGTTGTCTGTAGGATTCTTCCTGATGGGCGAGACTGGGGGATTCAGTGGAGTAACTCCACTGTGCTCCTTTAGGAAAGACAAACATTATTGTAAAGTGGGAAGAGCAAAGCAGAGGAAATGTGACTGATGACCACGGCAGAAACTTCCAGCCCTGTTTACTCTCTGATCCCAAAGTGTTTTCTCATTTTTAGGGAGTCTGTTTATCTGGCACTGATGGGGCTTTGGGGCTGAACACAGACACTTGGACTGTGTAGGAGACTTTTGCCTTTTATTTTCAACACCACCCTCCAGGGGCCTCTGTACAGAACCAGAGCAGGGAAAATAGCCCCTAAAAATGAGTGTTGAAGTGGGGGTGAAGCAGTTATTGTCACAGACACAGAATGTCTAAATGGGGCAGGGAATGTCACTGTCACACCTCTCAGGGCTGTCCTCACCACGACAGCAGCAGCGTGGTTCTAGATGGGTGAGCTCATCCTCCAAATATCCCTCCGTAAACAAGGGCAGATTTATTTTTAGCATAATCGCTGGTCAAAGGGAATCCTGCTCCAGAGGCTGCTGCCCTGAGGATTCACAGGAGGTGCTTTCACTGGCTGAGTTGGGAGTTTTGCTGGGAGACATTCCCTGTGTTTCCTTGTCCCCTGTAGCACTCTAAGGTCACTTGGTTAAGCTGTGTTTCCTCCTCGCTGCTGTCTGACCGTGTCCCTTTGGCCTGTCCCCAGAGGCAGACGTGTCAGTGTCCCTCTGTGGGGACAGAGCTGTGACCCCACAGGACGGGGCTGTCCAGGCTGGGAACCCTCCAGGCCTGTCCCTGTCCCATATCTCCTGGAGGGGCCTGGCTCAGGGACAGTGGTGTGGCATATTGTCACCACAGTCACTCACCCCTGCTCCTGGCCAGAGCCCAGCTCGTGCTGTCCTGTGACCCCAGCACGGCTCTGCTTCCCCAGAAACAGCTCAGGGTCATTTCAGCCTCAGCCACACTCCCAAAGGGGCTCCAAGGGCACGGCACCAAATCCCTCTCCAGTCCCTGTTTGCTGCTGGCTGTCACCCATGTGGGATGGGTTGGATCATGTGCTTTCCTCCCTGACACGCAGATCTCACTTCTCCACACTCGAGGTGCTCCTGTGTTGGAATGGCAGCAGATCCTGGAGATGGGAGGGTGGGGCAAGGAGCCAATGATCCTGGAAGCCACTGGATCCTGGGACACTGGCACAGGCTGCCCCTGGATCCCTGGCAGTGCCCAAGGCCAGCTTGGAGGGGGATTGGAGCAGCCTGGGACAATGGAAGGTGTCCATGCCATGGCAGGGCTGGGACTGGATCTGTGAGATCCTTCCAACCCCACCCACTCTGGGGTCAGCTCTGGGCTCTAAAGTAGGCGTGCAGCTCCAGCTCACACCCTCAGGAGAGGCACTGGGATGTTTTGGGGAGCAGTTGCTTGGCTCTGATCAAGAGCTCCTGTGAAAAGGAGCTGCAGGCTCTGGGAAGGCTTTTGCACAGGGGCAGAGTGAGCTGGGAAAGGATCCTGCAGGGAAAAGCCTCCAGCTCCAGGAGGAGGTTTGGGATCTGCTCTTCCCTGAGCTGCTGGTGAGTGCTCAGGCTGGGGCTGGCCAGGGGACAGCCAGGGGGACAGCAAGGGGTCACTGGGCTGGAGGGAGGGCATGCAGCATGTGGGCACTGTCACCCTCAGTGTGACATTGCCTGTGTCCATTACAAGCAGCAGGCTCTGGGGAGGGAGCAGGGCACCAAAATAGTCAATGATTTGTGAGGGCAGCAGAGCTTTGCCATTATTTGCTCTTCAGCAGGTGAAGCTCAAGCAGAAGCAGAGGCTTCAAAGCCTAGTTCAGGCTGTGCCCTGCCTGGCAGGGATGTCACACTGCCAGGAGTGAGATACAGAGGAGCTGGGGGGAATGTGGCATGAAAATACCAGGAATTAATCCCCAGTAGCTGCATTAACCACAGGGCAACTTGTGGGCAGCAGGAGCTTCTCAGCAAGCAAATACTGCTGGGGAGGCAGTGCCATGCTGGGAGAGCTTCTCCTGCATCCCTAGGAGCCCTGGCACTGCCCCACAGCGTCCCTGGCACTGCTGGCTGAGCAGGGATGGGTTTTTCCCCAGCTCCCCTTCCCACCTGCCCCAGTGCCCTGCAGGTTTTTGTCTCTGGCCCACGGGCAGGGCAGGATCATGGTGGTGTGGCCTCAGAGCCTTTGGGGTGCTGCTGTTATAAAATCACCACAGATCAGTCCTGGAGGCTCAGCCTGACTTCCCTGAGGGGTTTCCACACACCAGCAGCACTAAGTTGGGCTGATGGGACAGGCACTTTGGTGCTGAGGGCTGCAGTCAGTCCTTTTATTTACAAGCCCTCAGGAGTGTTTTCCGATGGAAAAAGTGTCATTGCCACTTCTGGAGCATGGAGCAGTGCCATTCCATGTCCCAAGGACCGCAGGCATTATTCAAAGCACTTCCTGCCAAAATAAAGGTGCAATTGAGAAGTGTGAGGCTGCAGAGCTCTCAGTGAGTTTTTCTTCTGGAAGAGGCTCTGGTTGGTTGTTTTAGCAAAAGGGAATCACTGAATGGTTTGGGTTGGAAGGACCTTGGAGAACATCTCATTCCACGCCCTGCCATGGCAGGGACACTACGCCAGGGTGCCCCAGGTCCCATCCAAGCTGGCTGCCCAGGGATCCAGGGGCAGCCACAGCTTCTCTGGGCACCCAGGGCCTCCCCACCCTCACAGGGAGGAGTTCCTTCCATGTATCCCTCCTAAAGATTCCCTGTGATTCTTGGTGCATTTGGTGTGTCTCCCTGGGTGCTGACCTTGTCCCTGTGTGTCCCCTCAGTGCTGCTGACAGCTGTGAACTGCTACAGTGTCAAAGCTGCCACCCGTGTGCAGGACGCCTTTGCTGCGGCCAAGCTGCTGGCGCTGGCTCTCATCATCATCCTGGGCTTCGTGCAGCTGGCAAAGGGTGAGTTCTGCTCCTTTTCCTCCTTTTGGGGCTGTGCAGGTAAAGCAGGGTGAGGGCCAAAGCCCAGGACTCCAACCCCAGGTGTTCCAGAGCTTTACAAACCTCCCTGTTCTCTCAGGTGCTTGGGGGATGTTCCCAGCTTGGCCAAAGGCTGGGGTTTTGTGTTTTATTTGTGTGATTTTATATTTTATATCACTGCCAGGCTTGATTTCATACTCCTGAAACCACTTGAGGTCTTTTCCACTTACACAGAGACTGTGCCTTCTCCCTTTGGGATTGAAAATGTTGGTGCTGCTGCACTGGGAAATCTCTTTGTAACATTTTGCTCACAGAGAATTATCTGCATGTGCAAACCATTCCCAGTCATCTTAATCCTTCCACAAACTCCCCCTGCACATTTCCCTTCATCCTGTTCCAGGTGTGCAGTGGCTCAGGCCAGCTCTGGGTCACCCAGGGACACAGAGCCCACGAGGAACAGACATTGGAGCTCTCAGCTGGCACTGGCACCTGGAAAAGGAGATAAAAATGGGAAGATAAAGCAGATTTTCTGGTGGTTCTGCTGGTTTGCTTCATGCACCCATAAAATCCTCTCAAAGCAGGGAGATGGTTTGTTCCAAACCCATCTGAGTTTGTTCCAAACCCATCTGAGTTTGTTCCAAACCTGATTAACTCACAGTTAAACCAAAGTGTGGCTTTTTTTGTGCAAGTTTTGTGGGAATAAATGTTTCTTGGGGAACAGTCCTGTCCTTGTTTGCTGAAAGGGGATAAATCTCCAGGGGCTCATGTCCCTGCACAGGGTGTGTCTGTGTGTGCTCGTGGGTCTCTAATTCCTGTCTCAGCTCTGGGAGCCAGTGCTGTCTTTGCAGAATTTCTTGCTTTGTCAGAGGTTTTATTTTCTTCCAACTCAGTGCAGACACTCAACAGGGACATTGTTTGAGGCTTATCACAAAACACACCTCCTCCCTCTGCCCAGCTCCCCAGCCTGCTCTGCTGGACCTTTTGATTCCCTCCCAGGAGGAAAAGGGTAAATCATGATAAATCTCTTTTAGTTGGTTAACATTTTACCATGAAGATCTTTACAACTGGGCTTTGTTTGCAGATAGAATCTTAATTTGCATCTTCAGAATGTGCTGTTCTTTTGGCCTTTTTGGGGAAGCTGAGCCACTTTCTGCCCTGCTTCCTCAGGTGGAAATCCATGAGATTTCCCTTGACTTCTCTGTAACCTAGAAGGGATTTCTGCCCTGTTACAATAAAACTCCCCTTCCCCTTAATGTGTCCCAGGAGTTGTTTTATTTCCTTTGAAGTTTCAGGTGGCTGTGCAGACCTTGCAGGGCAGAGAATTCCGTGTGATTTATTTTTCTGCTGATCCACCTTGGCAGGGAGATCAAAAGCAATTCCTGGACAGTGACACCTGTCAGCAAAGACTTTTGTTCCTGTCTGAGCAGCCAGCCCTCAAACCTGACTGGATCAGAGTGGGATCCTCAGGATCCACAGCAGATCCTGGTTCCCACTTTGTCCCAAGTGCCCATTCCTGCTTGTCCAGAATTCCACAGCTGGGATTCTGCCTGGGCTCCAGCATGGATTTTATTAATCTCCTTAGGGAAGTTCCAGGCTCTCTGCTAAAAGTCCTTAAGAATGTGCAAGTTCCTTTCCTGTCCCTTCCTCAGCTCCCACCTGCAGTTTGCACCTTGCTCCATTTTCCTTTCAATCATTCCAGGTACTGTACTTTTAGCAGGGATACAGCAAGAAATTGTCTTTTTTCTTCATTTTTTTTTTTTAATTCAAAAAAAAGCACCAAAATTCCCCTTTTCAGTGACAATGGGAGAGCACTGCCCTGTCCTCCAGCTTTGTCCCACATTTCCACACCCTGTGCCCATTCCAGTGTTGTTTATTTTGGACAAAGAGGACTCTTCCCACCAGCAGCTGGGTGACCCCATCCAAGCTGGCAGCACTTTTGGGGTGAGATCTGCACCCAGCTGGTTTTCAGGGGGATGGGGTTGTGTATTCCTGGGAGGTTCTGGACAATGAACTGGTTTTACTGGTTCCTGTCCCACTGCTGGTTTGTGTTCCCAGTATCCATAAACAAACCAGAGGAGCAACACCACATTTTTTGCTCAAATGTGGAAATTTCTGTGATTTCACAGAAATCTCTCTGCATTAACCTCCCACCTTCAGCCTTTGGCTTTTTCTCTTTTTATCCTCTGCTTGGCTCTTTTCCTGCTTTGCAGAAGAGCAGGGATCTCTCAAGGACAAAGGACTCTGTGGCAATTTTGCCCCACAGAAGAACATTTCCCTGTCAGCAGCTGTTTCCCATCACTCCTTCCCTGCCCTTTCCAAAGGAGCAGGCTGGAAGTTGGTTTCCTACTCAGCCTTTCAAGTGCTTGGAGGTTGACTCAGTGGAACTCAGCTGCTTGGGATGAAATTATTTTATTAATCCAAGAATGAAACTTTCAAAAGCCTTTTTGGGGCTGGAGATGTGTGGTTTGAAAAGTCCTGGATTTGGGTATTGGTTTGTAAAATCTTATGTATGGTCCCCAGATTATAGCCTGCAAATAATAGAAATTAATTAATTAATTTGAAATAAATAACTTATTTAAATAGCTTACTTATAGAAATAACTTACTCAAATAATAGAAATAACTTAAAATACAGAATCAGAGTTTTTTTCTCTCCAGTATTATGAAAACAAGATTTATTTTGGTTCTCTTATTTTACCAACTCTTATCAATTGGCTTTCTGTCCAGCTGGGTATTTTTTGGCCATATTCCTCAGCTGGGGAGTGGGATACCTGGGACTGGATCATGAAGAAGGTTTGGACAGCAGGTTTCAGGGATATTTTTGCCCTGGGTGTGACACAGAGGTGTGTGGTTTTGTCCTCCCCATACCCACACCTTAAAATTTCCCTTAAAACTGACTGAAATGGTCAAAAAATCTGGGTATTTCTTTAGGACACCCTCATACTTTTTACAGTGAGGAAGTTCAGGAAAGGTTTTGGTGTCAAAAAACTGGAAATAAACATATCACTGACATGTTTGACATCTATTTATTCCTGTGGATGATGCCTCAGGGTTTCTGGAATGTTTCTGTGCCCTCAGGCAGCTGGAGCAGGGATGCAGCTGTGATCTCTCACCAGCAGTTCTGCTTAAAAACCTGGAATTGGGCCTTTGGGACTTAGAGAAATAGAATTTAACACTGATTTTATTGCTTTTATTGGATTTATTGTCACTTTATTTATTGTCCCTTTTCTTTATCCTGGCTGTAAAATTCCTGGTCTGTGGTGCCTCCAGGAGCTTTTTGGTGGCAGCAGCATTTTTCTCCCTGCCTCCCTTCCTTGGGCTGTCAGGGATGCAGAGCTGCATCTGCCAGAGCAGCTCGGGGTCACTTAAGGACAGAGCAGGCAGGTTTAACTCCAGAGCAGAAGATTTGGGTTTAATTTGGGCTATTTTTTTGGTTGGTTTTTTTTTGTTTTTTTTTTTTTTTTTTTGTGTTTGTTTGTTTGTAGAATGATGGAATAATTTGGGTAGGAAGGGACCTCAAAGCTCCTCCAGTCCCACCCCTGCCATAGGCAGGGACACCTTCCCCTGTCCTAGGATGCTTCAAGTCTGGGAGGAAAGGAAGAGAGACTCAACTTTCCTTCCTTCTCTCTCAATCATGGGATTCTTCACCCAAAAAAAAAAAAAAAGGCAGGGAAAAAAATGTGGACTGGAAACTACTAAAAAAAAAATCCCAGGGAGAAATACAGAGGCCAAGGGGTGTTTTGTAGCAAAAGTGATTTGGTAAGTGAAAGCAGCACCCAGATGTCTCAACCCCACAGTACCAGACGTTTCCTTGCACCTGGAGTACTAAAAATGGCATTTTAAGAGCCAAGCTCTGCTCACTGAAGGTCTGAATCATCCTTCTGGTACTTTCAGAAGCCTCCCAGCAGTGTTCAGGATTTCCAGCCACAATATTACCTTTAAAGAGCTTTTTACAAGCAATATTGGGGTGGGGGTGGCAGAGCTGGCTGGGGTTGTGCCCTGGGGCAGGGGTGTCCAGGGAAGCTGTGGCTGCTCCTGGATCCTGGCAGTGCCCAAGGCCAGGCTGGACAGGGCTGGAGCACCCTGGGACAGTGGGAGGTGTCCCTGCCATGGCAGGGGTGGGATGGGAGGAACTTGGAGGTGCCTTCAACCCAAAGCAGTCCAGGATTTCCATGGTCAGCCAGGGCTCCTGGCGCAAGGCTGGAGCTGGGACAGGAGTCTGGAGCCCTGAGCAGGGGGATGTCCCCACTCAGCCCAGCCTGGCTCCCTCCAGGGATCCTCCCTGGACCAAACCCGATGGATGGGGAACATCCCTGCCTGAGGAGGGCACAGGAGGATGGCAGGGACAGCCCTCCCTGCTGCTGCTGTGCCCCTGGCATCCCAAATGCCACCGCCTGCCATGCTTCTCCAGCAGGGAGCTTGGCAGGGAGGCTCCTTCCTCATCCTCCCCTGGTAGCAGGGATGGGACAAGGAAAGCAGGGACAGCTGCCACACTCTTCCCCTCTAAATCACAGCAGCCTCCTGCTGCAGATCGATCAGGTGTCAGACGCTTCTTTTCCTGATTCAGTTCCCTGAACTGTCGCTGTTTTTCCTCCTCCTTTGGGGCTCTGGGTGCAGACACCCCGTGCTGAGGGCCCCCTCTCCCCATGGCCGTGTTCCCTCTCCTCGCTGTTGGGGCAAGTTGAAAATATTTAATTATCCTGCAATGCTTTGTGCAGGAGAAGATCGCTGTGCTATTAAAACCAGACTAGACATGACTGGGGAGCAAATGAACATTTCTGAAGTTAGGGCCCGGCACAGACACGCAGCGCCTCAGCCGGGCCGGGCCCTCCCTCAGCCCTCCCGCAGCAGGGCCCCGGCTGACCCGGCACAATTACCGCAGTCTTGGCAGCTGGAGGAGCCGCAAATGGGCTTTGTGTCACAGCTCGTTACCTTAATTTGGTTAATTGTAGAGCAGAGTGCGGTGGAACAGCCGGTTCAAACCAGGCTCCGGCTCTCCGGGGTGCCGGGCACGGGCAGGGCAGTGCCTGGAGGCCGGGATGAGCTGGGGATGCCCCGAGGCCGTGCTTGGCAGCCTCACCTGCACATTTGTAACTCTTAATTTCAGCCAGATCCAAAAGCCTGGGGCTGGAATTGTCGAGGCTTGAAGGATGGAGTGCCTGGGAGCTTGTGTAGATGGTGTGGCACAGCCGCTCTCCATCCTCCCCCTGCACACCCCAGCTTCACAAGGTGGGGTTGGATCAAAGGTCCAAATTAGGATCAAATCTAAATAATTCCGGGATCTTTTAGCAGGGCTTGTTGAGGGCATGAGGTTTTAAAGTGGCAGGTTTAGATTAGATACAAGGAAGAATTCTTTTATGCTGTGGATGGTGAGATACAGGCACTCCTCTGGTTATTTCGTTGTGTCCTGACATGTTGCTAAATCCATTTGACCCTGGGGCACAGAAATGGGAAATTTAACAATTCACTGGGAGGTTTTGGGAAGCTCCAGCTCTCCTAAGGTGAGGTGGGAAGGGCAGTGAGGTGTTGGCTGCCTCAGGAGAAGGAACATTTGGCCTGAGAGGGTTTTGCCTGTGACAGACCAGGAGGATTTTGGAAGAGCTCTGGACCAGAAATGGAGTGCTGCTCCCAAGATGGGAGCATCCTCCTGGGTGGTGAAGGTGGTGGTCCATGGATCAGGGTGGGAACATGGAGAGCCTGAAACCTTTGAGAAGAGATATATCCTGAGGGCTGTTTGAAATGCTGGAGAGCCTCCTGCTCTCCCAGTCCATCCATGTGCTGTTGCAGTAGCTAATTGCAGGCACTGTGAACAAAATGTGTCTCTTATTCCCATAACAAAAGGCCTGGAAAGAACCAGACTGGTAATTATTCAGGAAGGGCAGAAGATGAGGTGGGGAAAGCTGAGCCCGACGGATGCAGGGGATCACATTCCACCCCTCCTGCTCAGCCCTCTCATTCACCTGGGCTAAACTGGGATTCTGTGCAGAACCTGCAAGGCAGGAATTGAGGTTAAGCTCAGCCTTTTATCAGTCTCTGCATTTCCTGGCTCTCCTCTTGCACTCCGATTTGTTTTTAAAAAGGATTGGTGCATTTTGCTGAGGAGGATCAAATACATCCAGCACATCCCAAGGGAGATGCAGGGAAGACCTTTCTGATGCAAGGAGCTGCTGGGAAAGAGGTGCCTCCAGCAGAGAGCAGTTGGGATTGGGATTTGGGCAGGAGGAGCCTTGCACACCTGAGCTTTGTTGGAGCATCCCAGAGCCTTTCCAGCAGCACCTCCTGGGTGCCCAGTGCCGAGGGATGAAGGGTTAAGCTGCAGGCCCTGCTGACTGCCTTGTGATGCAGTTGCTGGGGTGATTAGGAGAGCTCTGTGTCCTAAGAGGAATCACATGGGCTCCCCCTGGGTGGAGAGGTGCCCCTCTGGATCCCACCACGTTCCCTGCACTCCCTCTGGGAGCGTGGCTCTGCCATCCCTGTCCCACAGCCAGCCCCTCCATCAAAGACAGGGAACAAAACAACTGCAGAGCATTTGAAAGCAAAATAAATAAACCTGGGGCTGCTCGGGGAGAGCTGGGACCAGAGGCACAATCAAATCTTCTATTTCTGGCATTTTCTTTCAAAAGCAGATCCACAACAGGAACTTTTGATCATCAGGCCATAAAGAAGGTGACTTCTGATATCCAAACCCCTAGAACCTGACTTCCCTCAATCAAAGGGATTGCCACAGGCCTCTGCTTTATCAGGTGGCTGGTGGGACTGGAGGAAATCCTGGGTTTCTGGGGGTTTGGGTGGCTGGTGGAAGTGCAGGAAATCCTGGGGCTTTATCGAAGGCCAGCAGCCTGGAGTTGAGAGGACAATGTGACAATCTCTGTTTGCAAAGCATCTTCCAGCAGGAAGGTCCCCAGGATGTCCCTGGGACATCACCTTGGTGACAGCACGTCGCAGCGTGAGAAAGTTTGGAGGAGTCAGTCCTTGCTTGAGATGAGTTTTTGGGGTCATCATGTGGGGGTGAACCCAGCTGGACTGATCCCTGGAAAACTGGAGGGAAAATGAGCCCGTGCTCAACATAACCCAAAAAGCAGCGGGGTGATAATTAAAATAATTTCATCCTAAGAGCAGCTCTTGCCTCCAGGTTTCTCCAGAGGCCTTTGGGGTTCAGAGCCCATGGCACTGAGCAGGGTTTGTGTCCTGCAGGTGACGTGGAAAACCTGACCCCTGAGAAATCCTTCGAGGGCACCAAGGTGGGCGTTGGGAACATCGTGCTGGCTCTGTACAGTGGCCTCTTTGCCTATGGAGGATGGTAAGGCACAGCCCTCTCTTCCTTCCACACTGAGCTCAATTCCAACTCCAGTTCCAAACTGAAGCTCCTGCAGGGCTCCTTTGTCAGTCCTCTGAGCACCTGCTCTCAATTTGCTCTGAAAAGAGGACACTTGTAGCCATCCTCATTATGTAATGATTTGGGTTTTGGGAGGGACCTTAAAGATCATCCAATGGGCAGGGACACCTCCCACCATCCCAGGCTGCTCCAAGCCCTGTCCAGCCTGGCCTTGGACATCAGCCATCCTAAGTTTTCCCACAGGATCAGTGTCTGTGCCCCTCCTGGAATCCCTGTGCAGACGAGTTAACCTGGAGGGGTTTATTTAACCAGAATTAACCCCTGTCCTTTTGAAATTACAGGAATTACTTGAATTTTGTGACAGAAGAGATGATAAATCCCTACAGGTAGGCATGAGTCCTGGCATGATTTCCCTGGGGGAAAAGCTGCTGTTTTGGGGAAGCCCCTTCCTTGTGTGTTTAACAGAGGAGGAAGCCAAGGCCTTCATCTGAAAAAAGAGAAAACAAGATGAGTTAATGACCTTCCACCTCCCTGGAATCAGGGAACAATAATCCCTGCAGGAGCAGGGCTGTTGTTTTCCCTGCTCTCCCGTGCCATGTTATCAGCGCTGGGAGAAATCTCTGCTTCCTTGGCCTGACACCTCTGTGAGTTATGGGCCAGGAAAGAGCACTCAGGGCTTTATTTCTGCCTTGGTTCAACTCCCACTGGGCATTTGTGCTGCTGTCCATGTGTTTGTGCTGCTCTCCATGTGTTTGTCCCGTGCTCTTCCCATCCTGTTGAGCAAGAGCTGCTTCCTGCTCTGCCTGTGCCTCTCAGGGTTATTTGGGGCCCTCAGCAGAGCAGGACAGTGCTGAGAAATCCTTTCTGGGATCCTGGGAAGGTGTCTGGGAGCTGCTGGGAGCTGAGCCTCGGGGGCACTTGTGCAAGAGCCCATCCTGGCTGACCCTGGGGGTGCTTTGGTCCTGCTGGGAAGCACGGGGCTGGATCCGCCCCTTCCCAGAGAAACAGCAAAAGGGGGGCTGCATTTTGCAATTATTTTCATGTCTGCTGGATGCAGTTGTGGTATTTGACTCTGCTCCTGCAGCTTGGAGCTCTGCTGGAGCAATTAGAGTGGCACCAAGCAGGGTTTCCTTTTGCACTTTCCCTTCACAAATGAAATTAAACTGTTGGGAAAGGCAAGTTTGTACCAACACAGGCTGTTCACAGACCTACTTAGGCTGTGCCTGAGCTCCTTTTCTTTGAGTTCCCTGAGTCCAGACAGCTGAGTTTAGGTAGAGGCTAAAACTGCCCAGTGCATCCCTGAGATTCCCATCTCCCCCAGGAATCCCCCCAGCACAAGGGAGCTCCTTTGCCGAGAGAGAATCCCTGTGCTGGTGCCACTGGGTATTTCTAATTAAGTGATCTTGGATTCCTGCTTGCCCAGGCAGCCAGGGCCTCTCCATGCAAAAAATCCCTTCTGCCATCATCCTTCCCTCTCCATCTGCAGCCTCCAGGCTGTCCAGGGGCCATGCAGTCCTTGAGGCTGGAAAAACCCTTTAAGGCTGTGAACCAGCACCAGGTTCACCACTAACCATGGCCTCAAGAGTGCCCAGCTGTGCCACATCCACGTGTTTTTAGGGATGGGGAGTGCCCCACTCCTTGGGCAGCCTGTTCCCTTGTGGATATCCCCTGTCCCATGGGAGCAGTGTGTGCCTGGAGTGCTGCACACCAGCAAAGCCAGAGAACAGAGCGGCTCAAAGCGAGCTCAGGCAGCTGGCAATCCCTGGGACCAGCAGCTCCCTCCTGCGAGCTGCTCCAGGACAATGGATGTTTTTTTCCTAGAAACCTGCCCCTGGCTATCATCATCTCCCTGCCTGTCGTCACGCTGGTGTATGTGCTGACCAACTTGGCTTACTTCACCACGCTGAGCACCGAGCAGATGCTGACGTCCGAGGCCGTGGCTGTGGTAAGACCCCGCTGCTCCAGCCTGACTCATCCCAGGGCAGGTGAAATCAGCCTTGGAATCACTGCACACATCTCCTGCTTTGTTCCAGGCTGCTCAGGGCTGCTTGTAGAATCCCTGATGTTGAGCAGGAGATAAAGAGCAGGGAAGAACAGCGTGATCCTGAGGGGATTATCCTGGGCAGCAGTGAGGGTGGCACTCAGTGCTGCTCTTCATTCTGAGCTAGGGAAGGTTGCTGCTGGCCTTGTGACTGCCCATCAGTTCCCAGAGCTTGATATTTATGGGGAAAGGTCACTCAGTCAACACTGAACTGGATTGTTCTTTCTCTGTGTCTTCCTTCTTTTAATTAAGAGAGAAAAGTAATACTTCTATTAGTTAAAATGCCAGTGTGGTCAGGAACCCTGATGGCTTCAGAATGGAGCAGACCTTGCAGGCTGAGCCTGACCAGGGTTGTTCAGGGTTTCAGGGGGAATCTCCCAGCCCAGGATGAGCTGAGCCCCTCAGGTGACACTGCTCCATCCTTTGGGTTGGGACTGAGGCCCTGCTCCAGCCACAGCCTGTGCTGCAGGGACTCCTGGAATGGTTTGGGTGGGAAGGGACCTGAAAGCTCATCCCATCCCACCCCCTGCCACAGGCAGGGACACCTTCCACTATCCCAGGTTCTCCAAGCCCTGGTGTGGAGCAGCAGGGGCTGGAAATCAATCCCATATTGCTGGTGCAAACCCGCAGTGGAGCAGCACAGGCTCAGCCTGCGACAAAAAGCTGCAGGGCCAGGTCCCTGCGTGTCCCCAGGGCTGGGTCCCAGCTCCTGACTCAGCACTTGGCAGGAGCTGCTGTCTGAGTTTCCTCCCAGTTTCCGTTTGGTCTTGAACTTTCCGATAGCTGGTGGATAAATGTCGTGTCCTGGCCCCGAGGGAAGGGCTGGCTGCTGATGTATTTTAGCAATTCCACAGTCTGCTTTTTCAGGAAAGGGGAGCAGCATGTGGGAATATGGGAGACTGTCACAGCTCCAGCACTGAGCTGTGGCATTTGTTGAGATTTCTCCAAATACTCTTTGTAGGCAGCTCTGAGTTTTTTGGGACATTGTGAGTGTGAAATGTCTCTTGTTGTCCCCCATTTAGGATTTTGGGAACTACCACCTCGGTGTCATGTCCTGGATCATCCCTGTCTTTGTTGGGCTCTCGTGCTTTGGGTCTGTCAATGGATCTCTTTTCACTTCTTCCCGGTAGGTTCCTTGCTCAATCCTGTGGGTTTTGTTTACAAGCTGTGCTCAGTTCCTCACCCTTTGGAGTTCTCCTCCAGAGAGTGGCTGTGGGCAGACACAAAGTCTGGAGGGCCTGGAGGCCACGTGGGGAATGCAGGAAGACAAAGTCAGACTTAAAACCAGATTAAAGGCAACCTTTCAGTGGTGTCAATCTTCTGTTCCTCAGGCAAAGTCCTGGTGAGGTCAGTAAACAGAACCAGACACAGGCTCAGGGCTCGAGAGAAAGTGCCTTTCATGAGAAGCAGAAAGTTGGGAAACTTCAGGGATGAGAATCCCTCGGGAAGGGGTGAAAGGCTGGGCAGGGGCAGGACTGAGATGGTTCTGGCTCTGACACATCCCTGGGTTGCCTGAGGAGTCACTTAATTGCTGTCCCTGGAGAGCAGGGTAGAAATCCATCCTTCCTGCATTCCTTGGCCATGTCCAGCCTCCCTGGTGAGCAGGGACTGCTGTTCCAGTCCTGCTGTTCCAGTCCTGCCTCGGGCTACCAGGGCTGAGCTGGGGCTGGTCCCACTTGTTCTGTGCTGAGCACAGAGCCCTGCAGGGCTGTGACTGGACTGTGTCCCCTCTCTGTGTCCCCTCCCAGGCTGTTCTTCGTGGGATCCCGAGAGGGGCACCTGCCTTCCATCCTGTCCATGATCCACCCCCGGCTGCTCACCCCCGTCCCATCCCTCGTGTTCACGGTGAGCCCTGGGGCCGGGCAGGGGATGGAGCAGGGCTGGGATCCCACTGCAATGGAGCCACAGCCATTCCTGCATGTCCACAGGAGATGGACCCTTCCCATCATGTCCTCACTGTCCACTTCTGTCTTGAATTCTTCCCATCCCTGGAAGTATCCAAGGCCAGCCTGGACAGGGCTTGGAGGAACCTGGGATAGGGGAAGGTGTCCCTGCCCATGGCAGGAGGTTGGAACTAGAGGTCCTTTAAGCTTTGAGGTCCTTCCAACCCAAACCATTGCATGACCCTATGAAATGGTTCCAGGCACCAATTGAAAATAGCTTAAATAAGTAAAAAATAGTCAGTGTGATCCCTTTCCTGGCAGGTATTTCCCCTAAATATCCCCATTTAGTGTTGTAACATAGATGGTTTTGTCTGCTGCCTTTCCTAATGGCCTTTTCCCTGGATTCAGTGTGTCATGACCCTGCTCTATGCCTTCTCCAACAACATCTTCTCAGTCATCAACTTCTTCAGCTTCTTCAACTGGCTGTGTGTGGCCCTGGCCATCATCGGGATGATGTGGCTGCGCTACAAGAAGCCGGAGCTGGAGAGGCCCATCAAGGTGAGAACGGGGTGGGCACTGCCAGGGGACCCCTCCCCAGCAGCAGGGGAGGCTCAGCTGCTGGTCCTGCATGGAAAAGGGGCTGGGATTGCAGGGCAGTGCTGTGTTGTAGCTAAAGGAGGTGTCTCTGCTGCTGAATCCATGCAGGAGCACAAAGAGCTGCCTTGGGAGCAGCACAGTGAGGGAGCTCTGGGGGACAGGGACAGGGTGGGATTACTCTCCATGAGTGCCAGGACAGATCCCGGGCTGTGGCTCTCAGTGTAACACTCTGTTCCCCCATGGAATTCCCCTAAAATAGTTTCCTGCTAAAGCAGCCGAGCTCTGTCCCTGGTGTCCTTGGCCAGCTTGGCAGCCCCGTGTACCATCTGGGGCGAGGCCAAGATCCTGTCAGCCCCCGGTGCCTCTCCCCCAAAAGCTGTTTTTCCCTCATCCCATGGCACACTCAGGTCCATGCCAGGCAGCAGCACCCACAGGGAGACAAACCCACAGGCCTGGACTGGTGCCTTCCCAAAGGGAATCTTTGCTGGCTCTTCCCGTAGGTTTTGGGGTTTTCTTCTCAAAGCTGGGCTGCTCTGGTGGGTGCCCTGCTTGGAGTCCCCTGGGAAACAGCCCCAGCTTGTGCTGTGCCTCTGCTGGCTGTGGTGTTTGGTGCTGATGATTTGGATCCGGAATTATGGAACTGAGATCCAAAGAGGTGCTGAGAAAGGCTCTTGGCCATGGGGGAACAATAATTCTGTCCCTCCCAGGCTGGATAAACTCCTGGAAAGCCTCCCCTGGCACATCTCCTAAGCTGTCCCTTGCTCCCTGCTCAGGTGAACATCTGCCTGCCCATCTTCTTCATCCTGGCCTGCCTGTTCCTCATCGCCGTTTCCTTCTGGATGACGCCCAAGGAATGTGGGATCGGCTTTGCCATCATCCTCAGTGGGATCCCCATTTACTTCTTCGGGGTCTGGTGGCAAAACAAGCCCAAGTGGGTTCTCCAAGGCATCTGTGAGTATCTCCAGGGAGGAGGAGCAGCTTTGGCTCCCAAAAAGTTTCCCAGTGCTGTGCTGTAGCTGGCAGTGCAGGCTCTCCTCCTCTGGAGGAGCTTCCAGAATCCTGGCCCTGCTCCATTCTTCTTTTATGGGAACAAGTTTATCCTCATGATTGCCATGTGTGCCAAGCATCCAGAATGCAGTAATGTGCAGTAACAGCAAAGTCTGGGACCAATACCGATAATTCTGTCCCTCCCAGGCTGGATAAACTCCTGGAAAGCCTCCCCTGGCACATCTCCTAAGCTGTCCCTTGCTCCCTGCTCAGGTGAACATCTGCCTGCCCATCTTCTTCATCCTGGCCTGCCTGTTCCTCATCGCCGTTTCCTTCTGGATGACGCCCAAGGAATGTGGGATCGGCTTTGCCATCATCCTCAGTGGGATCCCCATTTACTTCTTCGGGGTCTGGTGGCAAAACAAGCCCAAGTGGGTTCTCCAAGGCATCTGTGAGTATCTCCAGGGAGGAGGAGCAGCTTTGGCTCCCAAAAAGTTTCCCAGTGCTGTGCTGTAGCTGGCAGTGCAGGCTCTCCTCCTCTGGAGGAGCTTCCAGAATCCTGGCCCTGCTCCATTCTTCTTTCATGGGAACAAGTTTATCCTGATGATTGCCATGTGTGCCAAGCATCCAGAATGCAGTAATGGCAAAGTCTGGGACCAATACCATGTTTTTGGGGGGTTTTAATCCTGCCAAAGAGGTTGTTAGCAGCAGAGCAAAATTCCCTGCTCCTGGAAGAGCTCAGGGCCAAGCTTGTACTCAGCAAAGAATCCCTTCCAGTGGTGTAGGAAGGATTGAGCACAGCTGGCCTCAGTTTGACAGCTGAAAATCCACAATTAGTCCCAACCCATGGCTTAGGCAGTGCTGATATTTGGGATCCAGGCAAAGCTTTCCTTGGCATCCCCCTGTGGCAGCAGAGCAGAGGGAAGGGAAGCTCCCCTGGATGCTTTCTCTCGGGTTTATTTTTAAGGTATCTGCTCCAAGGTTTCCCACCAGCTGCCACAAGGCCAGGGTGTGTTTGGAGGGATGGAGAGGCTGTGCTTGGCACACAGAACCTCAGCTGAGCCCAGAAAGTCAGTCCCTGCTGCCCAAGTAACTGAGCTCAGCAGCTGCCTCCCTGCTCTGCTGCAAGGGGCTGACCTAGAAAAGCAGGCAAGGAGAAGTGCCCAGCCTTAGCTGGGTGTTTCATGAGGAAGAGAAAAGCTTTCAGCAGCACTCAGCACTTGTTATTCTTCTTTTCCCCTGTCTCTCTCTGTCCCTCTGTCCCACACTCATTTTTTTTATCCTGGGTATTAGGCTCAGTTCCTGGAAAAGTCATTTTTGCAATGCCTGGGTGGTAAATTACCATATTCATTGTTTTCCTCCACCAAAGGATTGTAAGGAGAATATTGAAAATATTCTGGGAACAGACAGTGATAATTTTGCAAATGTCCAGGGGGAGAAACACAGGAACTTGTAAAAGTGATTTATTGATACATTGCAGATAATCTGATCACCTCTAACTGATCTGAGCCTCACTTGGTTGTGCTTAGGATTAGTTTTGCCGTGCAGGAATAGTTTGTGATCTCCAGGCAGGGTGGAGCAGCAGGGAGCAGAGGAGTCAGGGTGGGGAGGCAGAGGGCTCAGCCCTTCCCTCATGGACCCAGGTTTCTGCTGGGGGTGATCCCTGACCTTTCCTTTGCTTTCTCTGCAGTCTCCACCACCGTGCTGTGCCAGAAGCTGATGGAAGTGGTTCCTCAGGAATCCTAGGCAGGAAAAGCAGGGACTCTGAGCTCGAGGAAACGCACAACGTTATTCTGAGATGACACAAGGATCCCACCCCTCACTCCCCAGTCCCAGGCACCGGAGCTGCCTCCTGCTGCCACCACTGCCCCGAGGCTCTGCTCACCTCCTGCAGCCCCTCCAGCCCCTCCCAGCCCTGCAGAGCAGCCAGAAGTCCTTGGTACGAGCCAGGAGGAGGAATTCCAAAGGGCACTTCCAGGGGGGTGCTGCCAGTGCCCTCTGTGTGTGTGTGAGGGCTGTGCCAGGCTCTGGGGGGCTCCTTTGCTTTGGCTCTGGGATCTGCTGGAGCCTGGTTTGAGTGTTCAGAGTGCCTGGGGAGGGCTGGGGCTGCCACAGAGCCCTGGGAGGGTTCTGAGCTGCCTTACCTGGCCTGGGTGGGGGTGGGAAGCAGAGGTTGGCTGGTGTTGTCTCACTCCCCCAAACCCACACCCCCATGTGCTGCTGGACACTGGACATGGGGGGGCCTCATGTGAGTGTCACTGTGCTCCTCACTCGGGCCCCTGCCACCCTTTGGGTTTGGATCACCACTCTCAGATCCAAGCCAGCTCCCTGCTGCTGAGCCAGTCCTCCAGGATGCTCTTCCCCACAGTGCCCATCCCTGGGAATGAGCACTGAGGGGGGAGTTCCTGCTGGGAAACCCAGGAGCTGCAGTCAGCTGAGGCCAAGTCCTTGGCTTGCTCATTCCATGCTTTTCTGTGCCAGGCTTTCATCCAGCATGGGATGAGCAGCTCTGTGCTCTCTCTCCTCATGGCCCTGCTCAGGGAGCCATGTTTGCCCCTAAACCATCAGCAGAGAGAAATAAAGGGTGGGGATTGCCCTGGCACATTCCCTGGGGTCTCTCCGTGCACTGCCTGGCGCTGTTCCCTTTGTCCTGCTGTGTTTCCTCTGGAATGTGCCACGGAGATGGGACCCACTGGCTCTGGGCTGTGGAGAAGGGCAGATGTTCTGGCTGGCTGGAGCCACCTCGGGCTGCTGGAGATCATGGAATGGTTGGGTGGGAAGGGACCTTACAGCCCACCCAGTGCCACCCCTGCCATGGCAGGGACACCTTCCACTATCCCAGGCTGCTCCAAGCCCCATCCAGCCTGGCCTTGGGCAGTTCCAGGGATCCAGGGGCAGCCACAGCTGCTCTGGGCACCTGTGCCAGGGCCTCCCCACCTCTGAGTAAGGAAAGTGAGCTCTGCTCTAAGGAGCAGGGCCTGGGCCTGATCCTCCTTCGTGCATCAGGTCTGGCTTGATGAGATCCCAGCACCACCCTCCCGTTCCAGGAGCAATCCCTGAGCACAATCCATGATCTGCATGTGAAATCCTGGTTTGCTGCTGTGGGTGGTGCCATCCCATCCCTGAGCACCCCCAGAATTCCTGTAGTTCCTGACTAGTCAGCACTGTCCCCTTAGGGACACGTTGCTTTCTTTGGTCCAAAGTGTCACCTTTTGGAAAAGCTGCAGTTCCTGAATCATTTGCTCATTGTGTCTCTGTGCTCTGACATCACCTGGAATTCATTCTCACCTGGAATTCTGATCTTTCCCCACTGGAGCTGCTTTGCTGTCTCTGTTGCAGATCTTTGTGCTTGTGCTTTGTGCAGGTGGCTTGGTGAACTAGTTCCCATTTTTTTTAAATCTTGGCCGTTGGGAAGCCGGGGTGCTCCGGGAGCTGTCGCTTCCCGTGGATTCTCCTTGTAGCAGAGTTCTTTGGGGTGAAGGGGCATTAAGGACACCATGGTACTCCTCAGGCTTTGTCCTGGGAAGTTCTGCAGCACTGCAGGTGTGTTGGGGCAGGGGCAGCTCCTGCCCAGCTGTGTGGCCGTGTCCAGGTGCAGCTCCACACTCCCACTTTGCCAGCCCCGTGTCCTGCTCTGAGGCAGGAAAAGGGGAGACAATCAGCTCTTTACTCCATGGCAGCTGGGGTGGAGATTCCCAGATCAGCTCAGTGACAGTGTGGAGATTCCCAATCCAGCTCTGTGACAGTGGACATTCCCAGTGACAGCGAGGAGATTCCCAGTGACAGTGTGGAGATTCCCAACGCAGCTTTCTGGGAGCTGAGTTAATCCATGAGGATTTGCAGCTGCTTTGGGAATATCCAGAGGGCAGACCCCAAGGTTTTTGGCCAGTGCAATGAGTTGGAGCATCTCAGATCCAATGCCAGTGGAGAGGCTTTGGCATAAATAAGGTCATGAATCACAAAACCTGAACTTGAGTTTTGGCTTCTTCCAGCTGAAGGCTGAGATGGTTTTGAGCAGTGATGGGAGATCACAGCCCCTGCTGGACCTGCTCCATGGAGAGGGGACCTCAGTCTGTCCTGCAGCCACTCATGCTGCAGGTTTTTTTGCCTGTGAGGTCTCAGGGCAGCTCCTGCAGGGCCTGGGTTCAGCATGGGGGCTCTCAGTGCAAAAACCCACCAGCAGAATTCCTTGGGATGCAAAGCAAAGGCATTGGAATCTCAGCCACCTCCACCCAAAATCAGCTGGCAGTCAGCTCTCTCCACAGAGAGCTCAGGACTGGGGCCAGACCTCCCAAAGGCTGGCTTGGACACTGTCCATCAGGTGATGACCATCCCAGTGTCCTGGTGACCCTTTCACACTGCTTTGAAAGAGGAGCTGTCACACTAAAAACTATTTTTTAAGCAATCAATGGATTTTAATTAAATCCTTAACTGGCTTGCTTTGCTTTTTGTGGATTTCCATGATTTCTCACTTGCTCTTGAAGATTTTCTCTTGTACTAAACTGAGGCTCTGGCACTGACCCCACCTTCGTGGGCATCTCATCAGCATCTCCTTGGCAATAGAGGTTTAGCAAGAAACTGAACCAGGTACCAGCACAGAGCCACAAAAAGGCTGAATTTGGTCAGCCACAGCTCACATCTCAAAGTTGATCTGCCAGAAAGCTGATTTCTCTCACCTTGGAGTCATTGATCCCCCACAGCTGCCCTCCACCAGAGCTTGGTGGCACAGCTGGAAGAGCTTGGGTTGGATTTTCCTGGAGGTTTGGGAGATAATGAGGGAAGGGATAAAACTGAATTTCATTTTAGAAAGAAAAGACAACAAGTCGTTTCTGCAATCATGGAAACAGCTGCCACAGCCTCTGCTGTCTGCTGTGGCAGCTTTTCCCTTGGATCAGCAACATCTGCCCCCATCTTGTGCTGTTCTGATGGGTTTGGGTATGGAAAAGGGAGAATTCACCCCGGGGAAAGACATCCTTGCTGCTTGTTTTCCTCAAACATGGAGTGAGATGTCAGGGAGGGCAGAGGAGCGACAGTTCCCCATTTCCCATCCTTCCCAGCACTGGAGCTGGGATTTTTCCTGTTGTTTCTCTGTTGTGCTCTTTGGAGCCTGTGGTCAGACAGGGAGGGAGATGAACCCTCCCCACAAGGACCCTGCAAGCACAGTGACCTACAAGAGGTTCCACAGGAATCTGTTCCTTTGACAGCTCCCTGCAAGCCCAGCTGGAGCTGTTCTGTCCATGGAATTGAGGTTGGAAAACACCTTGAAGGTCAGGGTGCCATAGCTGTGCCATGATCCCGTGCTCCTGAACTGACCCCAGCTTCCAATTCCTGCTCCTCTCCAGTTGTTTGTGAGTTCAGGCTCCCAGGCTGGCAGCTGTTTGGGTGTTCACAGAATTGCATCCCGCAGGGATTGCTAAACAGAGCAGGAGCTGCTGGCCAGGCACTTCCATACCCGTTGGGTTCCTCTTTCTAAATGAACCCTTCCTCCAGCTGGGAGGGGAACCAGCCCTGCAAGAACCAGGGGGATTTATGTCATCCTGATGGACTTTTAATGATTTTTTTTTAAAACTTCCTGCAGAATTTGCAGTGGTTTCCATCTCAGACACCGTGTTCTGGTAAACAGGCTTTTGTTTGGAACGGCCCCTCGGTGGCCACGGAGTTCAAAGGGACTCTGGCACAGTTGAACAAACTTTAAAGGCCCTTCAGCTGGGTTGGAACTCCTGGGAAGTGGCTTTGTTGTTGTCCAAGTCCTCTCCCAGTGGGTGGCTCAGGCAAGGGAATAAGTTGGGCTCCTCCAGGGGCTGCTCCGTGGTGGGGCTGTTCCCTGGAGCTGTGACTTCCCAAACCTGGAGAGATATTCCCAGTGGCAGAGCCCTGGTGTGGCTGCAGGGAATCCCAGGGAATGTTTCCACCCAGTCTGGGAAGGTACCTGTGCCTTCAGCCGAGGCCACGGCGCTCTCAGGTTCTAATAGAAAATCAAATTACAAAACAAACCCTTGAAACTGCCAGACATTGTCCTTACACAACTTGGGCTGCTCCCGTGGGATGCCAGCTCTTCCTCCATCCACTCGGCAACCTCATGACATGAAATTGGGAAAGGGCTGGAACAAAGCAGCTCCTGGAGCTTGGGAAAGGGCAGCCCCAGGGCAGGGTGGCTCCAGGCTGGTGCCGAGCTCTGGCTGGGATTGAATCCCAGCCTGGGAGCATCCCCAGCTCTGGGATGAGGCACAGCCAGCCACGCCTGGCTGCCAAGGAGGGAGATCCTGCAGGGATGGGAATCTGCTCCTCATCCCTGCAGGAATGGGAATCTGCTCCTCATCCCTGCAAGGATGGGAATCTGCTCCTCATCCCTGCAGGGCTGGGAATCTGCTCCCTCATCCCTGCAGGGCTGGGAATCTGCTCTTCCATCTCTGCAGGGCTGGGAATCTGCTCCTCATCCCTGCAGGGATGGGAATCTGCTCCTCATCCCTGCCAGGACATCCTGGAGATCTTGGTGCTGAGGGAAGCTCCAGGGATTCCTCATTCTGGGTGTCTCCTTGAGGAGTTACACCCAGGATTGTGCTGGCTTTGCCTGGGCTCGAGTTCTTCCCAGTTGGAACTGGAACTGGGTTGGGAATTTGTGGGGGATGCTGCTGGTGCAACCCAGAGCTCCCAGTTTGCTGGTGCAGTGGTAGGAAACGTGGCTCGGGGTCCCTGATCCCAAAGGATCCCATATCCAGAGGATTATTCCTTGCCTGAGAAGGGGTGTTGCTTTCTCCAGCTGTGGAAGTGGTAATGAGTATAAATAAAGTATTTTTTTAAACACTGAATTAATTTCTAGACTGCCTAAAAGAGACTTTATAGCTACACCTGAGTTCTTCCCCAGGGCTGAGGTTCAGCCCAGCACAGGGGCTCTCCCTCATCCCGGGCTCTGGCTGTGCTGGGATCAACGGCAGGCACGGGAAAAACCTCCTGCTTTGTTCAGAGAACGGGGAGCTCCACCAAAATCCTTGCAGAGGGAGGATCTTGGGTGGTTCCCAGACCTGGCTCCCACCCTCAGAACAAAGGGAGGGTGACCTTCACTCCTGGTGGAGAATCTGACTTTTCAGAGACACTTTGCTTTGTATTTTTGTTGTTTTTTTTTTTTTTTTTAAACACAGGAAAAAAAAAAGGCTCTTAACATACACAAGAAAACCTGAACCTGATTTACGATTTTGTTATATTTGGTTGCTTTAAAAAACCTGTTTTACTAATTTAAATATATCTGTAGATGACACTATATTTATTTGAAAGGGGTAAATATCTTTTAGTCTTAATTCTTCTCCAGTAAGTGCTGTGTATTCCCAATGTTTGTGTTCCTGGCAGCACAGCAATTCCACTGACTGAGGGCTGGGCAGCCAGCAGCTCCTGAATCCAATGGCCTTGGACAACAAGATGTCTCTTGCAATGTAATTTTTTTTTTGTAGTATTTCTTGATTCTTTTATGTCTGTGGTTTAACAAATCTGTTCAATGTTTGGGTTGTTCTATGTTCTGGGTTGTTTTGTTTTGTTTTTTTAACAAAGAAAGCTGAATTACAACACTCTGGTTGCCGGTCTTTGCCTCAAAAAGTTTTCTTTTTCCATGATTA